TTGTTTGGAGAGGTTTTCGCTATAGGGCGCATGTGCTCTCCAGAAAGACAGAAAGAGAGAGACAGAAAAACAGAAAGCGAGAAATCACCTCCCAGGGGGCATGGCCACGCCGCGGTCCCTTCTCCTCCATTCTCTTCTCGGGATCTTGGGCACCCACGCACACGCGCCTGGCGTGAGTTTAAGCCACCGGGTCTGGGACTCGAACTGCAGTCGACTACATGGGAGCCCAGTGACATAACCATTATGTCAACTGCTGTTCCCTGCCTCATGGAATTTGACACCTGCTAGGGAGTGGGGAGATTGAGGCAGAAAAGCTGTACAAACCCTGCAGATTGTGCAGGGGGGTGGGGCAGACAGGGCCCGGGCAAGAGCAGCAGGTACACGTGGGGGCTGGCGGTGGGTGGGCGGGGCAGGACTGCCTGGAACTGGAGCAGGGGAGCAGGGGTGCCCTGACAGGCCTGAGTGGGAGAGGCAGAGGCGTCTGCATGCTGGGAGGAGACCAGGGAGGGCAGTACCAGCCAGACCCAGGGAGCTGCGGCAGGGTGCAGACCTCGTCCCCAGGACAGTGGGAAGCAAGGGGACACCGGGGGACTCCACTCTGAGCTGACACCCCACGCAAGGGCCCCTTCTCCTGGGCTTGCAGGCTACCAGCCACACTGGGGCACCCCCTGAGCTGCTGTGCTTACCTCATCCTTAAAGGCCTAAGTATTTCCTCATAAATATTTCCCAGTTAGAGACACAGGGTTTCTGGAGCCAGCAAATGCTGTAGCGGTTACATCGCTGGGCTCCCACGTGGCCCACCTCTGTTCGAGTCCCAGGCCCGGTGGCTTCAAATTCATATCAGGTACATGTGCGTGCATGCCCAAGGTCCCAGGAGGAGAATGGAGAAGGGACTGTGGGTGGCCATGCCCCCGGGGAGTGACTTCTCACTCTCTGTTTCTCTGTCTCTATCTCTTCAAAGAGTACACGTGCCCTGTAGCAAAAATCTCTCTCTCAAAAGAAAATTAAGAAAAGAAACACAGGATTTCTGAGCCTTGGGAACAAACTCATCCTAAACATTACTGCATGTCCCTCACACGTCGGTGCCCCCAGAGCCACCCAGGTGCCACAGCCCACACCCACGGCTGCCCCAGGCCCCGGCCACCACACTCTCCACGCCTCATTCCTGCCCCACCCCCCACGCCTCATTCCGGCTCCAAGTCCACGGCCAGCCACGCGCCACACCACAGCCCCTGTGCACACTTGTCCCACACCCCCTCTCTCCCTTTCTACCTGCTCTGGGAATCAGGCCCACGCCAGCTGCACGGGGTGTCAGCTGCTGCCAGCCAGAGCGTGGAGGGGACGGGCAGCTGACAGCTCGTCCCGCACCCCCTCCGTGGGCGCATCTGCAAGAGGAAACAGGTCCCTTTGAAGGGCCTTGAGTTTACATTTTTAAAGGGAGTTTCATTCTTGGGGTAGTGCTGGAGCATCCTCATTGGACCACACCTGGGGAGCTGCCCTGGTGTCATGTGACACCTGGCCAAGCCCAGCTCCCCACCCCCCACCATCGCTCTGCACAGTGTCAGTCAGGAACCCCTGGACAGCTGCCCCCTCTGTGCCCCATGCCTACTGCAGGAGGCCCTGCTCACTGACCTGCCCTGTAAGGCTCCTTTGGGGACGCTGGCCCCGGCCAGCTTGAACTTTCTCGCAGATGAAGATTGTTGCCTTAAAAACAGATGGCAAGGGCCAGCAGATGGCACAGAGGTTATGTTGCTGGGCTTCCACATAGTCCACTGAGGTTCGAGTCCCGGATGCAGTGCCTTGAAACTAACACCAGGCACGTGTGCGTGCATGCCCGAGATCCTAGGAGGAGAATGGAGGAGAAGGGGTTGCAGCATCGTCATCCCCCCAGGGTGATTTCTCTCTT